ATACTCTGAAGGGACTTTGGATGACAGGAGGAGCTTGTGTTCACTTCATTGGCTCTCCAGACTGAATCGATACATCCATATTCTGCCGGACCCTGCACATCACTCATCGAATTATCTTAAACCATTTCACCCGAGCTTGCTTGTTTAATCTCTCATGCATTCATCCATTATTCCCTCAGGCTGGAGGGCCTTACAGAGTTTTGTGGCCTTCTTGTCTGTACATATTTTTCAGCATGTTGCTAGAGTTACACTGAGTAGCTACTCAACTCCGACACAGTTGAGTGACAGCACTGTCAAAGGGTTCCAACAGGAGTCCTCTAGCTCACTGCTCACTAGTCGAGTGCCCAACCGAGTACAGCCGAGTGAGTTCTTATAAATCTCTGTGGGTCTGTATCACACGTCTTAAATGAAATCTCGAGCTGTCTGAATGAACTGTTGTGACAGAAGTTTCCTTTGCCTTTGACCTTCCTGCTGTTCTTACTTATCTTCTGATAGACCAACAACACTGGCCCTCAACCCACTTTTAGTAGAATAAAAAGAAATAAGTGAGCAGAATACTTTGCAACCTTTTTTTCCCCAATTGTTAAACTTATTTGAAAACATCAGGAAGATCACACAGAAGCCTTTTTGTAGAGCCGAAGCCGAGCAGAAACTGTACATGTACATTTAGCAAATTGGCGGAGAACCAGTCACTTCCGATAAACATTGCATGACATTGTTCAGTATCCTTTTTTTATTTGAGTGCTAACGCAAACATTTTCTGTGCTGGGTAAACCCCACCGGTTAGCAAAGTCACAGTGTCCCCTTCCTCCTTCTCAAAAATGGATTTCACTTCTGAACAGAAACTTTGCCCCTTAGCCCTCTCTGCAAAAAAAAAAATAAAAATTCAGAAGCCAACAGTCTGTGGTGAACAGTGAACCCATCGGTCGCTGTCAGCTTGCAAGGGCTATTGCCCACGAGGTGACCCTACTGAGTAACCTCAAAACCTGGGAAAAATAACGTCAATTTGTGCACACTAATGCAAAGCGTGTGCTCAGGGTGAGAGGTTCATGACCTGTTATTTCATCCTGGACAGGTAGTATATAGTCTGGCCAGTCGTACGTGAATTTTCACTAAGGAAAAGCAGGTCGCTTGTTTGGTGTAATTACTGTCTGAATTCGGCGAATGTATCCCACAATTTTGCTGCGTGGTAAAATAAAGTCTAGCCTGTCAGCCAGTGCCATGACTTCTAGTTTCATATTGGATGGCATCATCATGGTTTGTTTTCTGAGCAAATGTCAAAATCGCCATTAGAACATGGCCAAAGAGTTCAACTACCTCGAGATTAGATGTATTCTGAGAGCTTCTGTGGACATTTTAAGTCCTGACATTGATGCCCATGGCTGAGAAAATACAAGCAGGTCCTGCTGTCATGACGTAGAGGTTTTGAACAGAGAGTCAAAGTTGTAGGCCGGAATTTATAAGCCTTTTGCGAGCTAAAGTTGAATAGAATCTGGAAAAATGAGTTCTTTAAATTCACGTGAACATAACAATTGCATTTTCCATACTAAAGACACGGTTGCTATACCTCGTGATTCGGGGTCAAGTTTTTTTCTTAGGTATATAAGAGACGCCTTGCACCAATACACTGTTTTCGACGGATAAGAAGGGCACAAAGGAACCAGTCCATTCCAGAGATCGTGGTCGCTATGCAAAAGCTTGCCCCGAATCACAAGTTGTGGCAACAGTGCTCATTAGTCTATTGTTATATATCAAAGTGCGATCAGCTAACACAGGTGTGTTTGATTTTATTCAAATTTAACTCGCAAAAGGCTTATTTGACTGCAATGTTAGTATCATTGTATATGCTTAGGTTTATAAGGGCAAAAATAATTGCGGTCAAGCCCCAACTTGTAGATGGAAGCTCTAATTTTCCTCGCACTCGTTCTCATCCAGAGCATGTTCAAGTTGTTGGAGGAATTTGCTGTTTGCGTCAGAAATAGGTCGAGGGTTTACCGAAACCTGAGTCGGTTGAATTAGGCACTTCCTTTATGTCTAGACTCCATACTGGTGAAGTCAGATCTGGTTGGCCTCCCTGAGCAGGGCTTGACTTCTCAAAATCTTTTGTAGCCCTTTGTCGTAGTTGGCTTTCTGTTTTGGAGGAGTCTGTACGCAGCATTTCTATGGTTGTTGAAAGGTTATATTTACATGCACTGATAACTTTATTGAAAAATGTGAGACTTTTCTATGGAATCCATTAGCATCATCCTGCCTCCTCTCTTATATTGATATTAGGTTTCATTGACAGTTCCTTCTTTCTCTCTACTTGCAATTTCTGTTTATTCTTGTAGTAGTCACTAGATTTTGCCAATAGAGGGTTTACATGGCTGCCATCTTGGTAGGCCAGGGCTTTGTTCCACGGGATATGCACAAAGGAGGTTTCCCCATGGAATAAAAGAACTGCCCTAAAAGATGGCTGCCACGCAAAGCCTCTATGGCAAGAATTTTTGCCCTTGCCAATCACAAGCAAAACTTTTTCTAAAAATGCAAAAAAATCGAAAATTGACCCCCAAAAAAGACAACATCATGAGTAATTTTCCCAACACTTCTATTGTTTGTCCTGACACCGACCAATGAAAATGTTTGTAAGGTGGGTTGCTGGTAAAGAGCAATGAATTTGAGCGTCATCACTCCAGAAGGTCACATGAAGCTGAAAAGGGCAAATGCTCCCTGCTTAATAGAGCAACCACCCTTATCCACCCCAACAGTTGATTAGGATATAAAAATTCACTGGTACAGCTGTACAGCCAGCCTTTTTTTTTTAAATGTGCTTTCGGTCATAAAAGTAGTGTACATGTACTTAACATGTGTTTCGTCTCCCTCCCCTTTCATATTACTGTCAGAGAACAGAGAATATTATTCTGTATTTAAGAAACATACCAGCAAACTGTTTGTTGTCAATTTCCTTCTATTTTGGTGGTCCCACTTCAACCAAATGAGTTTTACCCTCCCTCCAGCTCAATTGTCCTCTTATCCTGGATAACCGATCCACACGCCTGCAATTTTTCCTGTTTTGTCCTTTACAAGCACCCGCAAATTTTAGCGGCAGTTCATTTGACGCTCATTTTTTGTTTTTAAATGGTCTTTACCTACTGCTAACACAACAGTCTCATGTATCAACTGGATCCAGTTTATCCTTGAACTCCTGCCCCAAATTACCTGTGTACCTTGTGCCCTGCACAAAGGATATTATTGCGGTGTTGAGTATTAAGAGTTGGATCTGTTTGGGGGAAATCGTTCAACAATTCCGTTGTTTTGGAAAGCAAGCAAATAGCCCCCTAGACATTGCAAGGATGAAAGGTTTTCGAAAACGGGAACAGTCTTGCTATTGGGTATTTTGGTGATAATGGGCTAAACTTCATGTCACGTTCGCAACATATTTTCTTTACGAAAGATTGCAGGGAACTTTTTAAGCAAGCACTTTGGGCAATTCTATTTGGAAGATCACTTTTTTTTTTTCCATTTTCAATTCACCGATGTGACATGATTTTTTTTGTTCCCACAAAAAAGTCAAAAGTCGAACCACTCGCCTGTTAAATCTCCAGCCTATTGCAAGGAATTTTCTCCCCAAGAGGTATGTTTAATTTGGCAGTTCACAGAGAAATTTTACCCATTAGGTTCATTCAAACTGTGTGCTTTGAACTTTTAGTCAGACAGGACAAAGTAAGGAGTTTTTTGCCGTAATTGTAAACGACCTACCGGTATAGTGCAGTCACATCTACATGCATACAGGAAGGGAAAACTGCTAATTTCAGGCATGCTGCTAAAACAGAGCTATTGTAATTGAACCAAATGTCGAGCTAGCGAGCACAGATTCTACTCTGGAGAATTTGTGCTGCAGGTTTGCATTAAAAAAACAAACAAATTCCAGTTCATGGCTTGTAGTTCCTGACTAACCCAGCCTCAACAGTTCTGACTTGAACCCTCTTGAAATTAGCTTAGAAGACCCTGTTGCCGGTGACACAATAAATGTCAGGACCGCCGGCTCCAATTTGGTTCCGGTGCCTTGCTTTATTCAATCTGCTGAGTGGATAATTTTGCTAATCAAATAAATAAAATGTTCTCAGTGAAAAGAAAAAAAAAGTGTGAACGGGTCCCAAACATTGACAGAATTTTTGGTACCTGTTTTTTTTTTTTTTTTTTGACTGAGGGGAATGCCTCTATGTTGGTAAAACTTGGAAGTTAAAATTAGCGTAGCCTTTGATCAAGGCGCCCACGGCGAAATGGATAGTTGCTCAAGAGCAAGGAGCTGGAGGAGACTAGTTTAAGCACCAAAACAACGCACGAAGAAAGACTACACGACAAACCATATGCACGCCCCGCATGCACATAGTCCACAACACACACAGCAGAATTGCAGAATTGGCTAACTGCTTTAATTTTGTAATAAGCAAAGCAGATATGTGCCTTTGTTTGAACACTGCAGTTGAGGATTGTGTCATTTATGACCAGCAGTAATGAACAATGGAACACACTGTCCTTAGGTATATTGTAAACGACAGTACATAATGTGACGGTATGCACCACTATGTGACTGAGTTTTAGTGCTCCATTCACCATTCAACCTCAATCCTTCAAAATCCTCTAGCTTTTAAATCAGCATTCGTCCTGAATCCTCCAGAATCCTCCAAAACCACCAGAGGATTTTGGAGGATTGAGGTGGGTTAGGGTTTTAATTGTCATTGTCATTAACCGTCACATTGAGAAGAAGTTTTTAAAATTCATTTCACAAGTTGTAATTGACATTAGTGGACAAGTTGATCTAATTTGGGTGCAGAGCCTGTGACAGATTCCCCTCCAAACCCCACAAAAAACGAACTGAGGCAGCTCTCTAGCTCGCCTCCCATCTAAAGTTCTTCCACACAGTCTTCCCCCCCCCTCCCTGGAATAGAGCATGTGAGGATACCTCCCTCCCCCGCCGTCTCATGATTTGACTCTTTTTTCCGTCTATCCTCTCCCAGCCGATGGCTCCTGCTTCCTCCTGGACCTAGAGACCGACGACTGGCTAGAGTTGACCGGCTCTGACTGTGACCCCATCTACGCCCTCTGCTGCCACGGAAACACACTCTACACCGCTTGCCGGGACGGAATTATTCGCAAGTACCAGATATAGGTGAGTGATGCGTGCCCAGCGAGCCCGTTCTCCCCCAACCCTTCAGAGAAACCAGATTGCCTCATACCCTCCCAATGTGCCTGCAAAAAAAAAGTCAAAATGTCACTTAATATACTTGTACGTATGCTTATTTGAGACTTGTTATATGGTGATATCTGCAATAGCTTATAAATAATCAAACCTGGGGCCAATTTCATAGAGCTGCTTAAGCACAAAATTTGCTTAAGTGTGAAAAAAAACCTTACTTGATAAATCAGGTTACCAGCAAAAACTCCATGTGATGTGTAGTGTTTGGGGATGGTATTTAGCTGTTGTTTGGTTAGCATGACAATCAGATAGAATTTGAGCTGGTAATCTTTGTTTATTCAGCAAAGATTTTTTACCACTAAAGCAAATTTTGTGCTTAAGCAGCTCTGTGAAATTGGCCCCTGTATGCAAGATACTGGTAACTCTATGTTAGAAGTGGTTGAAATTGTGAGGTATAAGTTTCTTGAAGGATTTATTCACTTTGAATCTCAAAGAGGTACCATCAATTTAAAGTGTTCTATTTGTAGTGTATTCTCCCGAAATAAATTCTTTTTTTTTTGTCTCTGACAAAATATCAAGCAAGCCTTAATGCTGCTCCGATCAGACTGTCCACGCCTCTGACGGTACGCGTATCAAGCAACCGGCTCGTGTAACGACAACTGATTGCTTGTTAAACAATTTCCCCTGCACAGTTAATTGGCATGGCCTACGTGACCTTCCCGATGACATTTACGCGACCCAGAAAGACCTCTTTCTCTCTCTGTCTCACTGTTGCTCATTACTACCACTGTCCCCACCTCCACATCAGTTTTGACCCATGACTTGTTTTCAAGTGTTCTCAGTGTGTATTTTGATCTTGGCAGTCCTTCTTTGTTGAAATGAATGAAGTGAGACATTTAATTTCTAAAAACGGTGTTGCAGGATGGAGGAACCTGTATTGAATTCGTGGGGGCAGCACAGAGATTTTCTTCTACAAACGAATGCAGTTTTAACTACTCAAGAACCCCCCCTTCCATCTCAAAGGCGGTGGTACTGTCTCTAGATTTGGTACTTTCCAATTCTCAAAAAAAAATCGCCAACACATCAGTAGGGAGGCAACTTTCATACGCCACCGTGAGCAACCGAAGCATTTCCATGGATACGGCTGGCTGGAGGCTCATAGTGACATTTGTCGTAGCCGCTTGAGGCCATTGCACTGTGACATAATACATGTAGTTAAAGTGCTCACCTGGGTTTCATTGATCCTTTGTACGTTTTACCCACAGTTTGAAGACCCCACCTATTCATAGAGCTTGAAGGCCTGCCGACGGTACAATACCCGAGCAGACCCCCATAACTGTTTACAGAGGAAAGAACTATTCTCCCAAAGCTCTTGTTGACGATACACTTTGCTTGCTTCCAGCATTGCCTGTTGCGGTAACATAGCCCCAACTTTTGGCTATAAACTTCACGTCTCATGCATCACTCATGCATTCCCTGTCATCTATCGGCGTGCCAAATTCACTACCATCGCACTCTCGTGATCAGAGAAGTGAACTTCGTATACTCTTCACTATTGTCACTGGTACATGGACTTGCAATCGTGACATGAGTCACGCAAATACTTTTTTTTTCTGTTTTTCGAGCTGTAAAAGTTCAGTCATATGTTGAAACTTTGGTTGTCTCAGTTGATGTACACCGATGCAACATTGCCTTTACGTCATCCGAGGAGTTCACATGAGGACGCGTGCACTTAAGTGACCCGCAGCGCCTGCTCGACTAGGAATTATTTCTGGACAGTAATTTTGCCCCTAAGTAATGTGGTGATGCCTTCTCCCCCTCATCGTACATGGCTATGAAGTCTTTGTCCGACAGTAACCGCCAGAAACTCAGCTAGCTTGCTACATGTATACTCTATTGTTTTCCTAATTTTTTTTTTTTTAACTTCAATGTGAGCTTTTATCACCGTGATCAAAAACTCCTCCGGTAATGAATTTGCACTATTTCAGAGCCTCTTGAAGAGCTAAATCAAGGATTTTTTTTTTTTCTTGCTTGTCGTTGTTAACAAATCCTTCGCAATCGGTCTGCCACCTGCGGATAACAGTGCACTGCCACGTCGCCTGCAATTAGCCGTCCGTTCATCTGAGATGGTTGTGCCAACCACACAATGCTGGGTAATGCCTCGGATGCTGTGCTTGCGGTCGTTGACCTCCCCACCCCCCAGATGAAGCAGTATTCTCTTTTTTTTTACAGACTGCTGATGGCCGCCCCTGCATGCGATCTCCCCTGTCTGCTGCTCTGCAGACAGTTTTTGTATTTTTCTTAGCCGCTGACCTTGATGTTGTCAATACTTCTCCCCCCCCCCCGGCCACTGTTCTGTGCTTGGAGTGGAATTGTTCATGACAATTTGTTGTGTTGTGGGACAGTTCAGATGAAAAGAGAGAAAGCGTTGAACGGAAGTTTTCATCCAGCCACCAACCCCTGAAAACAGGCTGCAATCCGAAGTTTGGCGGGCCTGTGTTTCATGTGTGACCCAACCTGTTTGGGGCACCCCATATTAGGATTATTTCAAGCATCCTTTTTTTTTCTACGTGTAGTTCACCTGCACATATCATTCATAAAGACTGAGGATCAGAACTTTTTCATCAACATGTGGCAAATAAAATGCAAGGACAACAGAGCTGCAATACAATCCCAATGACGTGCATATTTTATCATGGGGCGCATAATAGGAGTTGGATTCAGCCTTGTACATGTATTCAGCAAGTACGTGAGGTGCATGCAAATGTGTAAAATGCCTGGGTCCTTTCTGAGGGCTGTTTTTTTTTCAGTGAATTGCTCTCTCATTTTTTGAGGGGACTCGAAACTTTCTTGAGGGAAGAGAAAGTTAGCAGTGAAGAGCACGGTAAGGCTGGGCCAACTAACCCTCTGGTTATGTCATTCTGATGAGGTTTGGAAACAAACTTTGCCCAAATGCAGCTGGGCTCTTTTTTTTTTTTTGGAGAAGGGAACTGGATTGTATCCCCAGAAATCATTAACGTCAAAGAAAGTTAGCCCTGATTATTGACTCATTTAACCCTGCGGCAATTTTGGCGGTTGGACGCGTCCAGATCAACAATTACACAGGAGAGATTTTAATAACACAGTGCTTGTTTTCCCCCCTTCACTGATGACGTATGCTTATAAACACAAGCTCGCTCGAGTGGGACTCGAACCCACAACTCTGCACTCACAAGTGCAGGCTTCTCCTCTTAAGTTTGCTGGGGTTTATTAATTCATGCCATTGGAGATGGAATTTTTGTCAACTTTAAAAAAAAAACGAAAGAGAAAGAACAGTCGCAAACTATGCAAAATAAAAGAACATGGGATGGAAAGTGGCTTAGGCTATAGCAAGAAAACAAAGAGAAATAGGAATTGTTGCCTGTCTGAATACCACATCACCGCACAAGTCTTATTTTGGGGGATATTAATGCTGCCGAATGTCCATTGTCATGTATATCTGAGTAACAATTGAAAATGTGACCCAAAAAATTGTGTCTCTGTGGAGCGTCATCTGCTACCAGAATGACTATCCATCTTGTGGCTGTTTCACAGCTAATTGATTAATCAAAAGAACCTTTGCAGTTTGCACGCGAAGTGTTTGCTAATGAACTGCGTGCCCTTGACTGTTTTGGGCATGCCAGGTAGCTATTTCATGTTTGATTCCCTGCCGGGCATCACGACAACAATCGCCAAATCAAAATACCCAAAGCCAGAAGAGGACACAAACGAAATGAAGTTGTTAGTCTATGTTCTGGTTGGGTGCCGTTTAAACGATAGCCCTCTCAAGGCCAACTTTTTTATGCCATCAATTACAAAGGACGGTCTTTTTTTTTTTTTCCCCAACACAACCTTGGATACAACCAAGTGTGCATGACCAGACCTTGAGTTTCAGCAGTCGTGTTATATTTTAATCCAGCCACACATATGCCCGTGGTTTGTCTCTCTCACAGATGGAGCCAAAAAAGTTCAGCGAACCACTGCTATATTGAATAAATGTGATGGAGACATAATGCTGAAAATGCAGATGATGTATTCATTGATTACTACGTGAATTGCTTGCAAGAGCACCGTCCCATCACAGAAAATTCAATCTGTTTTGCATGTTGATGTTAATGATATTTCCACCAGGTTAACCTTCGGATGGTATTAACATACAAAGAAATGCTAGTTTTCTTCCCTTCCAAAGTTGAGACACGCTTGTCAGTCACTCGCGGGGCGTGGGGTGGGTGTGGCTCGGGCAAAGCAAGGTGGGTGGTGGTTTGTCCAGTGATATATAACCTTTCTGATTTGATGCAGACAGTGCATTTCTTTGTAGAGCCACGAGACTGGAAGCAGACTTTGTCATTGTGCTGCCTTTTTTCTTCCATTTAGCTCCCCCCCGCTTTCCTGACTGTTTTCAACAAAGAGTACAAGCTGCTTTTCCCCTCCCCCCGGCGTATGAAGAGCCCCTACAGCCAATATCAAGTTGCGAAGCACGCTTGTTTGAATGCTTTGCAGTTGAAGATGTAATCCAACTTACAGTGTTACGCCATTTTGTTGTCCCTTGTCTCGTCACCAGTTTGCCAAGCGAAGGGACGGAAATGAGGCTTGTCCCTCCCGTCTCCAAGTAGTTAGCACACTGGGGGATCCAGGGGGACCAGTGGGGGGCAAGCCCCCACACCCCTACCACCTGAGCAAATTTTGATTTTTGATTAAAAAAAGTAATAGGGAAATAAGTGAATGGTGGAATTTTTACTTTCTTTCCCTCCAAAAGCATTTTAAAAGCACCCAAATTTAGCCCCATCCATGAGAAAGGCCATAAAAGCTGAAATAAACTTTGAATTTTCCCAACCAATTTTGCCCTTTCCCCTACAAAACAAAAGGGTTCTGGATTCACCGTTGAATGAGCGTCACCGAGGAATACACACCCAATTGCCTCAAGCACGAGGCTCAACGCACTCTGCGTGTCCCTG